TGGATCGTGCCCGTGCGTTCGTGCAAGACGCTTCGATTCGCTTCAACGAGGCGTATCGATTGTCGCGAGGCAACGCGCGTAAAGCTTTCGCCAGCTTTCGCTATGTCGCGAAAAATATCGCGACGCTCGTTTCATCCCGCGAATTTCGCGCACGTAAATTCTCATCGTCGCGTCATCCCACAAATCTCATTTCCGCGCAGATTTTCGGGCATGGTTTAGCTCTACGTTTTTTGGATCCCCGAAACGAATTTGTGGTCCGTAGATGCGCGCGCGTTTGCATTTTAACGACACGATTTTTGACCGGGCGTTACCGAGAATTGTACAAATATGCGACGTGAGATAGTTCTTCTTCGGCATTATCTCAGATAGACGCGCGATCTCTCGTTGCACCTAAATGATTAGTTCGGTGGAAATTGCAATGCAGTTTCGTCAGAGCAATCTGTCTCTTGCATGGAATTAATTATAAAATTTTGGCGAAGGTGGACACGTCCCATGAGAATAATACGAAAGTAATTACAACGGCATTTATCTTGGTTTTGCGGCTCCGCATTTTCCATTATTTGACCACAACGCACGACGAGAAATAGCTGACGCATACATTGTAATTATTAATGTATTACGGTAACAACAGCCGAACAAAATAGTTTGAAAAGCACCTCTTTTACTATAAACCTCTTTTATCAAAACTACTCGGTAATAATGACGTGATAACGTGATTTTTTTTTTTTTAATACAATCTAATTGTAAGCTTGCCATTGTCATTGTCATTGGCTAATCTGATAAACGTGTGCTGTACGTCGCTCTGAAGCCAACTTCAGCGATTTGAATGGCAATGAGAAAAATATTAGTTTAGTAATATCATAGCCAAGTAATACCATTGAGGATCTCTCATCTCATCTCTTTGCGTGTGCTTTTTTCTCGTCAATTTCGACGAGAGTTCATCCTTATTAATAATGCATTGACTTTTTGCCGAGAAGCCTGCAGAGTATTGTCATCGCGTTACCGCGAGATTCACGACGACGATTCTATCTCGTAGTTTATATCTGCAGACGAAGACGACGTTCTGTCTGTACATAAACCGCAACCGTCGGCTGATGTTTACTCCGCTCCGCGTTTCCGCGCAACGCGAAAGCTCCGAGAACCCTTACGAGCATTAAAGTTCGGCGACGCCGGCGCGAGGGATTTCGAGCGGTTCTTTATTTTCAGGACCCGAACTCTCCCTCAACCGCCACGAGGCGGAATCACCTCGAGGGGGAGAAATATCCTATATCCCATATCCGCGTGAAAAATGAAATCGTCAATTCGCGCGTCGAGAAACGCTGCAAAAAACTAACTGAATATTCCTCCTCGATTCTCCTCGCTTTTATTTTTATTTCGTTATCAACCGCCTCATGGAGCCGTACTTTAATGCATGCGAATTTATGATGGGCACGCAGTAATCGTAAGCGGATTTCACGCGTCGAAAGAAGTGCGGAATCGCTTTCGCTTACGGAAGTTGTAAATTCAGTTACAGCTCTAAATTGTCTGACTTTATTAATTTCGTTACGGTACTCAATTATCTTTTCGCATGGTTGACATTTATTCATAATAATTCTATGGAGCTGAAATTTATACTACTATTTGTTAAAAAAAAGTTTATGCAGTTTATATATACACAACTTATAAACGGGATGAGAAACGAAAAACAAATATGAAGCTTGTAACGCAAACAAACCGCCGTGGGACCGTAAAATTTCGCGGTGAAATATTATTCAATTTATTCCAGAAAATAAAAAGTTTCTGCAAGAAACTTTTTCACGCGTTTCGTCAACGCATTGTAAAAAAGAAAAATCTTTTTTTGCCATTATTGAAATATTAGAGGATAAATGGTTGAATGTGTTAAAAGATTCAACATCATATTGGAAATCCATGAGGATCAGCTCCAGAGCATTTAACGGGATCGTGATTGATTGCAATTAAATATATTGAAGTTAAGGCAGATGGATCGATTTTCACGGTGCAGTATATGATATATTCGATTATTATGTAACAAGTACAAGATTTAGAATATTACAATAATTATTTTTTTTTCTTTCTTCTCTAAAGACATATGTAATTTTACAAAGCATTAATATTAACAATAAACTTCATAAATCCTGATAATCCATTATCCTAATAAAAAACAAAGCCTTGACAGTGATACAAAAATTCTACTTTTTTGACAATGAAATTAAAAAGTGAATATTGTGTACACCTGACAGCCGCAATAACGCACCTGTTTAATTGACCTGTATTTGATTAAACTCGAGGCGATGCAGGAGGTCGATAAGTATTGATTTTCTGTTAAACTAATCTGCGGGAGACATTCGGTTTCCCGCATTATGACATTACGTTTGTAAATAGCGTTAGATATGAAATACTGGATCGCATGTCCCAAGTGACGTATAGCAAATAATTGTTATTTTGATAATTGAATTAAATAACATAAACTATACATTACAGGATGACGCTCTGCTCAATTGTGTGACATATATTTGATTTGGACTTGGCTTTAAAAATGTAAGAGAGAGGATAAAAATTCTATGGTAGCGTCACATGTGCGAGCGATGTCTGATTACAATTTTGAGTACAAGAGGCACTCAGTTTTATAATTCAATACCAGTTTCACGAACGAAGTTAGTAGTTGCACAGTCGGGCTACTAGTCGAGTTACTAGTTTGCGAAGTCTATGCGATTTCTCTCGGATGTTCCGAACGAATGGGAATGTCATGGGAAGTTTTCATGCCGATTTGTTAACAGAATGATGACTTTGGCCTATAAATAGGAAAATGCGCAATAAACAAGCCATAATACCAACAGTAGCCAACAGTAGCAAGAATTAATACTATATTTTACAAACAAATTTCACTTTACAAATAACATACGACGAGTTGATTCAATAATGTCTTGAATACAAGTGACACGATATGTCAAGTCGCATGAAAAAAGAATGCACTACTACAACAACAGTTTATCTCTTTGTGACAACATATAAATTGAAAACGTAGTTATATGTAGCTCGAGTTCCCTTTGCGTCCTTTCTACGACAAATGCGGTTAACTCTACTTGTGTATATATACTGTATTGCAAAAGGTAATATCTCACTGAAACCGAGAAACTTTATAAGGCCGCATGTGCAATTAAGCAATATTACGACAATGTTAATAAATTGAATTTCCAGCTTCATATGTGCGTGGCGGTGGATACCGTTTGCGAATAATGGAGAGAAGAAATGACCAGGAAAAGGTAATCATGGTAAGCATCAGCATATATCACACGGCCCGCTTTTCTCAACTAATGTTTTTCTGGATTAATTAACGTTATATTCGAGCGCGACAACGGCGTTACCGTAGCGTTAATGACAAAAGGGGAAGACTAATTTTTAATTTAATGCAAGTGTCCGCCTCGCTGTGTACGATTATTTTTAAACGCGGCAAATACCTTTTGCAGGCTCGTCAACGACATAATGACGCAGCCAGAAGTAGTTACTGCAATTAAAAATGTAATATACATTTCTGACGGACACATTTTTGACGGTATTGTTATACATTATTCTCAGAGAGTCATGTTACTATGACAATCAACGTACTCGAGCTACCCGAAGCTAAAGAGGCTCTAGTCAGGCCACTCTCTTGGGAATATAAATAAGGAGACATGTGTAAATTACATATTCAGATCGCACAACACATCCATTTATCAAAAACAAAAAATCACTATTGAAACTGAAGAAATTATTGGAACAAATCACTGTGTAATGTTACTGAAAACTTTTTAAATCAAAATGTCAGGTATTCTCTGAAATTTTTTCAATATGTCTTCATTCTAAAAGTCTTCATATACAAAATATAAAGTTTTCTCAGAAAATCATGAAACGTGCGATGAGAAAATCCAAATAACAAATGAAGAAGTGCACGCAAGCTGCATTTAAGTGAAAATAAAGAAAAAGAAAAAAATTATGTAAAGAAAATATTTTTATTTTGTAGACGTTATTTCTATATTTTATTATAATTTTAATAATTATTTAGGAATGTAATTAATACTTCATGCAATAATGTTTGTTATGTTTTTTGCGATATGCTTTTATAATATATATCATTTATTTAAGTTGCAATAAGCGACTTAATTCCTGACATAAATTGCTCGAAGTAATACATACGAAGTAAAACATAATTGTCATTGGCATTCATTTAAATGCATAAGATACTTTAGCACGTCATCGCTCGCGAAAAAATGTCAGATTGGAGCAATTTGTGCGGCATCGATAACAGGACGAAACGGGAATATCTCCATATCGCGACAAGAGAAATGAATAATCTCGGGATTCGTAGCGATCGCACGACGAAGCGTGCGAAGCGATTTCTGAAAGGAAGATTACGTTTTATGTTTGAGGGAGCACGCACTATGAGACACCTGACAACATACGCATCCGCGATAGTTTCCGAAGTTCCGCGGCGCGGAAATGCTCGTAAACAAAATGCATTAGCGGAACGCTAGACACGCGGCTCATAATAGAAAACTCATAAATTGAATTATACGCGCACCCACGCGTCAGTTGTCCTCGGCGGCAGAATACGTGATATGCCGCATCGTTAGAATCGAGCCATTGTCTCTGCTCTCAACTCAGTTGTATCGTTTCGTCATATACCCCGGGCGTACATGAGCTCTTGCTCATTGTACGTTTAACGCCCGTTATTGACATTCGGGCCGACCGGATGAAGCGTAAAGTATCCGGTATCCGGCGAAATGTGGCTAGTCAGTGAGATTTCGATTCGATGCGTCAACAAATGGCTTTATCGTATTTATCGTACCCAATCTTGCTAAACCAATAAACCATTCTCTCTAGTTTCTCGATTCGAGTCAGTTGGTTCGTTAAATTTGGGATCTGGATTATTAGTCCTAGGAGAGTTGTACCAGTCAAATTTTATTATATGTGTGTCATTTCGTAATCTTCATTTTGTAATATCCATGAATCACTGAACTCACCGTGCATCTGGTAAAATGCCGTGATGCCAACGCGATCCGCATCGTCGAAGGAAACCGGACCCTGCAAATAGAACGAGAACGAATACGAATGACATGGAGAATCGCAAAATTACGATGACACGGTGAAACAATGTCATAAAACATAAAAGACAATTAGAGACATTTATTACTAAAAGGTGAACCCAATCGCGCGTTTAATCATTGTACGCCAATATGAATTAATTATACCGTTACATCGATTTCGAACGAATTATAAAGGATTTCCTCGAAAAATTTGTTGCTTTTGAGGGAAACGAGAGAAATAATAGTCACGGTCTACAATCACGATTTTGAATTTAACCTGCGTCCATTAGCTTCACATTCATTGAAAAGTTCTTCATCTTTGATTATTATTGAAAACCTTCAAACTCGATATTTTCTCTAAGAAAGACCTCGGTACCAAGTTCGTAAAACGAAAAAGATCTATGAGAGAGCGAGAGGATGCCCTATATATATATATATATATATATATATATATATATATATGGATTTGTATGGGGCAATTTTGCGCACTTTCCCGTGACGTCTCTCAAGTTTTTTGCGAGCGTACGAATGTACGTAATAAACGGCTACTCTCTCCGTGTTTTATTTATCTTTCGGCCGTCGAGACTCACCGAAACTCCGATAAAGCGCAGATTCTTAAGCTGCTTCAGCAGAAGTTTGGCGAGGTCCTTCCTCGTGTGCGTATACTGCGACATGCTCTCGTTCCGTCGATTTAGGAGAACCTCAGTTTCAGCGAGGGCGAGCGCCATGGCCCACACGGCATCGTAAGTTTGACCAGCGAATTTCGAGTGTGTGACGCCTGTATTATTCAGCTCCGAAATAAATTTCTTACTAGTCTGCAAAACGAAGAGAAGTGACGTGTAAGGCACGTCGGGTGATTCGCGAAACGTTCACGCAGTCGAATAGGGTATAATTAAATCGCAGGCGTATAATTAAAATAAAAATTGAGGCGAGAAAGAAGAGAAGTTTGAATTGACTGACGAGCGAAAGGTTAATTTAATTTGTTGTTCATGCCGACGACGCGTATGTTTTTTTCCCTCGTTTGAGGGGAAAAAAAAGCGACTCGCGAGCGTAAGACAAAGAGAAAATTGCGTCTCGTTAATTTGGTATTTCGGCTACATTGAGATCCGTAGAGTATTGACACGATGAGAAAGAATAAAAAAATTTAAATTTTTAACAACGTTATCTTTATTTGAAGCGATGAAGCGCGTTATAAGCCGGATCAGCAGAGAACATCGCGGTACGATATTCATCAGAATAAATTTGCGTATTAAGTTAACAAGAATGGCGAAACTCTCATTTCTTGAATTTGCCGCAATAAATCTGATTAAGTGACTACAAATCATGTTTTATTATAGATTAGCACACGGTAAGCACCCTTGAGCTTTTTGTACGCCACATTAAATTTCGCTGAGAGGTATAATTGAATCTCCGTTCCTATAATACTCGCTGAAACATCACGTACGTACATTTATAATTTTACGTTTAAAGTTGGAAATTGCGCACTGAAGGAGAAAATAGTGACGTCGAATCTTTCCCTTTATGTTCAGCGTACCTCCGGATACTCTTCCGGTGGTTTAACTTTCGGAACGCGTATCTCCATTTAGTTCGGTTATGCGGTAGGCCGAAAAGTTAAAGTGATTACCTTCGAAAGAATCTTAAACACTCCGCCTTTTTATATGTTAATTCTTAAACTATCAAACCCCCTGAGTATTATTTATACGCTAATAATATTTATAGTCAAATATATTGCACTTTGAACTTTTCGCCGATTTAGATGTAATTTGGCCATGACTATTTCTAAATTGAGAGCATGAAATAAACAAAGGAATAATCAGATCGAATGATAACAAAGAGCTACACTTATCAACCGCTTATTAATAATAATTATTTTTCGCAGAATTGCACGTTTAATTAATATTCTAATTAACACTGAAAATGTTGAAGTAAATTTCAAAGCAAAATGAATATTATTTTCGTAAACAAATAATTATGATATATTTCGCTACTATTTATCGAAAATAGATAAGCGATCTGATACTCATGAAAAGCATTATAATTTTAGAAAACTTTCATAACTAAGATCCAATTTGTTGCAATTTTTCTACATAAAAATAATGATGATATCAATTCATAATCACGAACTCGAAGCGATATTTCTCGTGATGACATATCATATTTCAAAGCATTTGTTTCACACGAGTTTTCGCATCTATTTTTTTAGAAACGGATTAGTGCATCTGTCAAATTTACGTGCAAAAAAATACGCACAGTGTTCTTTCATGCGTGGCGCGCGCCTGCCAGACTTTCAAAACGTTCAACTCCACGAAAAATTCATACAGCAACACGCAGCAATAATTGATCTATATTTCGCATACCACAAATGTTTTTATTGTACAATACAAACATTCTTATCTTGAAACGTATATGTGCGTACAAAAATAAAAGATAAAATAAATTATAAGTTATAGATAAAAATTGTTCATATATAAAAAATATTTAAAAATTGTGTAAAAAAAAAGTGAATCAAACGTGTGAAAAAAAACAATTTTAACTTTATTATTCTTGTTATTAAAAATAGTATCGCTTTTCAAAACTTTAAATGAAATGGAAGAAATATAATAAATGAAATTTAAAATCGATAACAAATATGTATGCAGATTATCGCGATTAATAATAGCACAAATTATAACCAACGAACTAACAACAAAATGATGCAAAATGATGCGATAAAATATATCGAATATGTTGCATATTTTAGTGATATTTATGAGGAATGAGTATTCAATTAATTATTTTAATTTTTCATACAAATAGCGTAATCAACAGCAATTTTTTATTCTGTTGATAAAAGATTTTTATTTAATGTTTTTAATTATGTTCGACTATTATAAGAGTATACTTTTTTAAACATATTTATCAATATAATGCATCGTGAAAGCTGTAACGTCATTATTTTTACCACTCGACTATGTCGAAAACTTACACGGCAAAATTATTCATGTTCATATCGCAAGAGGAAGTGTGTCCCGACACATACTCGGGACAGATCTATATTGGAAATGTGTTCGGGGGAAGACGTCGGTCGGATGTGAAAAGTAGTGCGACGTGTAGAAGCCACGTACGACGGCATCGCGAGACGCCGTCTATTTTTGCGACCCGTTATTTTCGAGAGTGCTCAAAATCGACGGTAACTTTTGACGGCGAACGTCGATTACAGTCGCTCGTCATTAGACTGATTACCTGGCTCTGGAGGATCTAATGTGTGAAAAGGCGCTACGCCCCACTCGGTCCCCTTTCTACCTTGACGTTTTACCACGCGGACCTTGAATGGAACAGAATAGAAGTCTCGCCTATAGACGCGAGACCTCCAGCTTTCTTCGCTGCACACTCTAATTTCCGCTCGTGGGACTTCATTTATTACGCGCAACAGCAGCCAGGCGTTATTATTGCAACGGCCCTGCGACTAAGCTTTCTCACACCTTCGCCCCCGTTTATGGGGCGCAGAATTCTGCAATTATCGCTGTTGTTAACGATAACGATCCGGAACGATCGTTATCTTTTTTTTTTCCTTAATTAAATATTACATTATGAACACGGAATGCTGTAAGCGCAAATGTCGCTGAAAACAAACGGCTGGTCAAAGGATGCGTGTAAATTAAAGAAATTGTCGAGAAACTTGGCTGATAACATGTACATAAATATGTAAATAATTACATAATATGTATCGTTGAAATTAAAGATTTCGCTTACTTTAACTCAACGTAGCTTTTTCTCGATTGCACGTTAAATAAAAAAGAAGCAACGTACCAATCCCGATGCGCTGGTCTCATTTCCCACGACCGTGGGGTGACTCTTGACGATGATTAAGCCATCCAGAGTCTGCAACAGTTGAGAGAACGAACACTCTCCCCTGTTGCTGACGTGCAATTGCCACCAGTCGCCGGTTATCTTCAAGGAATCGATGGTATCACCTGGTAAAATCCACGCGTAATCGCCACCGTGCATCCCGAGTTTCCAAGCCTGCAACGAAAAGGAGAGACAGTAGCCCGCGGTGAAAAGATTCAAGTTTCAATCGCGCTCCCGCGAGTCTCAGAGTGAGCCTGTTGCGTTCGCCATTTATCAAGATAGAGGAGAGGAATACGCCGGAACTCGGGCGTGAGATTAAACACGTCGCTGCAAAAGAACATTGTGCTGGTTCATCGCGGTTTGCGCGGACAATAGGCGCGAACGCACAATGCAGCGCGATAGTGATACCACATTATCGCGATCGATTGTTGACACGGTTGCATGACTCGTCAAGGTAGGTAGTCCAGGCGACGCGAGATACGCGAACGCACTCGCCTCGCTTATCGATCGGTTTACTTCTCCGATTTACCGAAGGACAGAAGCTTATGAGATTACGTTCGCGATCGCGTCGTTTCCGATCGGATCTTAAAATTTCAACTGGCGAAAAGTCCCCATTCGAGAAAGTCGACGGCGATTGCGACGTCAGTCAGGAGAAATTATTTACGACGATCTCATAACGACGAGGCTAGATGTCCCGTCTAATGAGAAACAACTAGGAGAGAAAGGTTATTCGCGGATCCTCCGGGATCGTCTTTATAAAATATATCCCGCCGTGTGTCTTCTACATTTCTTCGTTGCCTCTCTCTCTCTCTTTCTCTCTCTCTCTCTTCGTACCTTCGTCTTCCGCTCCAGAATTCTCTTTCCGCTCCTTTACCTTTACCGGCTTTGCCAGGTGTACTTTGAGCATTGTAATATCTGCCTAAGGCAGATTTTGTATTGCCTTCTTGCTGGTCAAGTTAGCGGATGACGAAGTAGGTCATCGTTATGAAATTGTACTTGAAGTGCACTTGGTCGACGCTTCGCGGACTCTCGGTTTTGCGTCCCCTGAGATACAATCGATTAATTTCTTCCGAGAGGCAAGGTTGTAAGCGAGAAATGAGCATACGCTATAACATAATTCCATGCATGTTACATTATGTTTGCTATATTATTTAAAAAAGTTGCCGTTTATTTAAAAAGGTTTCTGCTTCAATTTGAATAATTTTTGTAATATTTTTTAATAGTTTTAATGTACAATAATAATTAAATATATTTTGTGCCGTATATTATATTTTTGTCTATAAAAATTCCTTTTATCAAACTCTATAAATAATTTTTTTATTAAATACATTTCTTATAGCAGTTAAAAATAAAATGTCAAATTAAATACCTATATAAAATCTAATCTAAGATAAAAAATATTAAAAAATAATGATTCAAATGTCAAAAGAAGTTGAGTATATGACTCAATTTGACATTTGTATTTTTTGTATTTGACATTTGCAGAAGTATAGATTTTAGAAACATTCGGAGCTGTACAAAAATGTTAGCTTCTGGGAGAATAGCATATGTGGGTATTTTGTTGCAAAAGTAAATGACATACACACACACACACACACACACACACACACACACACACACACACACACACACACACACACACAAAAGCATATACTAAGACAAGGCGTAGCCAAGAGAGTAAAGAGCGTATCAGTTCTTAGTGAATCTAAAGGGAAACCTCTGGAAAGTATCGAGCACGTGCATTCTCGTAAATCAGGTTGCCGCGTTTCTTTACAGGCGCAACGGCTAGTACGCTGAAAGTGGTAATAAAAAGTTGTTACCTAGTATACAAAAGACCGCGCTAGCGCACTTAATGGCCAGAATTATTTGTGCTGTGGCGAAGATCGGGTAGGAAGGTCGCCTGCGTGCTACCGCTTTACTTAAAGTACGGTTTTTCGATAACGTTAATGCACGTGATCCCCGCGAAGGAATAGAAAGAGATAGGGAACTTATGTGACCATTAAAATATATCGAACGACAAATTTTTCATCCCCGTGCCTTTGTGCAATTTTCCTTACAATGGGAGATTCCGCGGCGCTCATTTCTAAGTAATTGAGTAATTGGAAAAAGGGTGATCTGAACTGCCTCAATTATTTAATGACAGCCGATGACGATGTACTCTTCTTCGAAATGTGGTCGATTCTTCCACGTGTGCGTCAACGTCGCAGTTTAGATTTAGATTATTATCCATTAATTTCTAAGGCAACTTGTCACTCAATATAGAATAATAGATTTGTGGTCTGACCACAATCCAACGCCGCATCGGCTTATCCCGTTTCCCGATTGATCGATAGATTGAAGATTTGTCCGTTTCACCGGAAAATCGTGTGTTCGTTACGTACGCATCATCAGCGAATATCGGACGCAAAAAAGAGAAATGGGATTAAAATCGTGCGTGTGGAAAGTTATATATTGTTTCAAGGGAAATCCCCGTAGGAAAAAATTCCATACGCACGATGTCAGTTGGTTAGCAATTGCTTCGTTATTTTGTTATAAAAGAAAACTAATTTCTTTTGCTTTATGTGATCAGCCATTGTGCTATTATGAAAAGTCTATCGTTAAAGTTCCATATTTTATATAAACGTTTTACGCAGCTATTCCTAGAGATATTTATGATATTTATTTGATGGAATCAAATGATTATGTCCTAAAGTAAAATATATTACATGGGATATATTATATATATTTGATCACAATTTTTTATAAAATAAATGTTGTGTAACCGCAGAAAAAAGGTATCATAATTATTTCAAAAATTTAAATTGTAATATATATATATATATTTAGTTACAATTTATAATTTTGAGATAATTATAATTATATATAAAATCATAATTATAATATCTATGATTTTATATATATTCATAAAAAACAATATTTATCAAACACATTTTATATTCGCCATATAATTGTTACACGAAAAATAGTAAAAAATAGTATTAATATATTTCAATTAAAAAAAATATTTGTGTTTAATATATTAACTCGTTGCTACTGATATCGAGTTTTATACAATTAATCTCTTTCACTTTGTTGTTGTACTCTTTTTTTACTCGTATTGCGTATTGGAGAAATATGTGAGAAAAACAGACAATGCCTGTCTCTCTAGTCGTAATAAATAGTGAAAACGTGACCTACGAATATTAAACATCGCGGAAACGTAACGATCGAACGATTTGTAAAGGAAAGCACGATTCGGCACTGATCTAATGGTCGCTCCACGAACGGCGACAATTGACATTATTGAATCGCCAATACGACCAAGATGTCCCATCCCTTCGCACCACCCTAATCTTCGTGTACCCGGAAATTTATTTTCACGCGTCGTTTACGTAATTGACCGACAGGAGGGATATTCAGAACCATGTCTAGGGATCTCCATTTGCAGGAAATCATATGCGACGCGGATATAGAATTGATCGTGGATATGAATATTCTTAATGTGATATTAACGTGGAACGTCCCGTAATTTTGACGTCCCAATGGGGAGGGCAAAGGAATATTCGTATAATTTGAAACCGCCCCTGTGACAGTGGAAATTTTACGTAAATGCGATCAATGACAGGCCGAGAGAAATAGGTACGTGCGAACATTTAAGGTGTCATGTGTTTCACATAAGATGTCATGTATGTTACGTGCTGGCTCGAGTTAACTTGTAAGGCAAACCGATACACACACTTCGATGCAAACGTGCAATACCGGATGCTGACGTGGCACACACGATCGTATTGTAATACAATGGCCTGTCCTTCGGCTGCGTGCAACAGAGTATGCGATATCTACTAAATGAAAATGAGGGTCACCGCGACTTACAATAGCGCAAGCGAGAAAATTATGCATTGGCCCAAATGTGGTATCGTCTGAATTAATTATTGTCTCGCGATTTTCAACAAGATGAGAAAATATTCCATTCATTATTGACTCACTATTCCATTATTATGTAAGTTATTATTATAACGTGCAGTTGGCATAAATATAAAACTAGTTTTTTTTTTAATTTTATTTTACTTATTTGACATGTTCGAATAATATAATATTCGAGCGCGAGAGAAAATGATATTAAAAATGAACATCGCGCGTCATCGTTAAGATGGGATGGGAATTTTTCAATATTTCGAGATATATATGAGTCAATCTTGCGCAGGAATGCAGCTATGAAAACAAGCGAACCTGTGAAATGAACCGTAAAATTCTGGAACACTAAACAGCACGATTTAAAGCATTACGCGCGAACAGGCAGGCAAAGGGAGAGAGATAGAAAGGGGGAAATGGAGAGACTTATTGCAACCTTGGTAATTTGTGGCAAGGATGCGAGTAGCACATATATTCCGGAACGCAACGAACCGACTGCAATTTCAACTCGATGCTTACAGTGATATATACGTAGGATAACTAGAAATTTAATATGAAAACGATACAGTACGATGGTTCTCCCCCGGAGATATTTTGCGGTTAAAATTTGATATTATTCTCCTTCCCCTTTGTGCCTCAATTAACCCTGCAAAATGGCAATTACGCGAATTGTAATGAAAATAAATTGAAGTAACCCGGCGTCTACAATTGAAGAAGGATCCAACGAGGGACAAAGATCCGGCGGAAAATGTCTGATACTGATGAATAAAATATTTATCTTTTTCCCTCGATCTTTGTCCCTCGTTGAATCAGTAGTTAGGGTTTGTTTTATATTAGACACTTTTACTACTCGAACCCATTTCATTTATAATGAAAGGATTTATTTTCTACACAAAGAATCGATATTTCAGAATATACATGATATTATTTTACTTCGACTTTTTAATATAAATATAAATTTTTAAATCAGTATCTCAATTTTGCGAGCAATCTCAATTTTAAGAACTTTGCCAAGGAAATTGTCAACCTTCTATTGTATATATAATCCTGACAAAATTCACAACCGCACTGAGTTGCACAAACAAGAAATTGCAGTTATAAAGAGCCCGCAAGGGAGGGAACGGTTGTTATATACGTACAATAACAAACAACACAAAGAATCACGCTCGTTTATGAAACTTCTATCATTAATGCTTGTTAAATAGTGACAACAACTTTACAGAATCCTTATTTGCCCTACTAAAGTTAAAGCAATCTCTTAACGTTCCATATTTCATATTTACATATTTACACGACATTTACACCTCTTACAATTTAATAACGAGTCAACATATTTATCGCTAAAATGTTTGAGGCATTCTATAATTTTTATGTAAAAATAGAATTTTTTGTGGAATAATTTATTAACGAAATTTATCTTCGTTTTATTTTCAAATTCTACTTAAATAATCTACGTTCACAGAATGCTTTGAATATATTTATTACAGGATTACATACGCAGAATTACATACTGTGACCTAATGTGCAAAGGTCTTCTCTCGATTGATAACATCAATCCATTTGTTTGCTTACGTATCCGGTGTCTAATCTGCATGTTTATCACTATGCGAGCCGAATGTGTACTTCAAAATTCGCACGACAAACAAGACTCTGCGAAAGCTTCTGCGGTCGGTGCGATCTCAAATTACAAAGCGAGAATGCAAACTTCGTGTCCTACTTCGCCATTATGCTGCTTATGCTTATGCGGTATTACGATAATTGATAGTATCTGCTTGATACATTTGACACCCTTCTTTCGTTTTGCATATGCGTACACTTATGTTAACAGTAAAGCTGTTTAATTGGACAAATAAAACCGAAAAAAAAAAGATCACTATTAGGGATACGCATACCCACGTAGAAATCAAGAAACCATTTAGCTCGAATGATTTATAGGCGTGTAGAGCCCCGTTGAAAATTTCATGATGCTTTTGGAGCGGAGCGTAGAAACGATGTTCCGGTGTTTTTCATCCCAGTTTTGTAAGCGTCCGTGAAAAAAAAAATCATCATCACCGTATTACTCCTACGTTCGAGCGCTCATAAAATCCAGAAAACGCTGCAAGGGATTGCTTTTCCTCTTGTGAAGTTCGAATGGTATTGTTGATGTACTGCATGTCGGTGAATGAGAGTATGGGGATGAATCCTTACCGTCGAGTAGATATCATAAAATTCAAGCTATGTATAATAGATGCATTATTTTTCCATAAAATATCTCGTGCTGCTTTCATAATACTTGACACGAAAACATTTCCGATTTTCGCGCTCAATGACGCGTTGAATAGTCGAACGTGTCCGAACGGACGTATATATATTTATTTCCCTAGTCAGATTATATAATTTAAAACGTCAATGCGCCGTTATCAGGTTTTAAGAGGATTTCATTTCAGAGCAGTAGAACGTACTTGTGCGAAAGAGAGCATTTTATTCTATCTTCGGTAACAGTAATTGTAAAAGAGATAAAGTAAATAATGTCACTGCGAGATAATTAATCGGCGTAATGATGTTCGAAAGTATGAACGCTGCAAAAGTTAAACTTTTAAACAGACTTTACAGTTGAATTGCGCAACAAAACGCGTGAAGTTCTTGTAAGTGTAACGAGCTTGGGGTTTATCTGTTCACATTTTTTCTACTTTGGCAAAAACTACCTCGTTCTAAATTCTATTCTACAAACACAGAAACAACGAAATTATTTTTTTTTTTGTTAGTAAGGGTTTCCAGCGAAATCGGTGGAAACTTTAGAAATGAATGAGTAGTCGAAACGGCGACCTAACTTTGTCCAAATTACACGGGTTGTAATGAGAGTTATTAAAAGCATCATTAATTAGTCCGTAAGGAGGTCGCTGCTTGTAGGTACTTGTCAAAAATAATTCCATTCGTTTTATCCCCCTTTATTTAAGCAGCGCTTATATATGATAATTATGAAAACGTCTACAATTTAAAAATAATTTTCTTATTAAGATTCTTATTAAGATTCAAATTTTATTTTGCAACTCACCTCGCAAAAGACACGTTGCGCCAATCGCGGTGAAAAACTTCCGATAATGATTCTGGTGTCCAATTCCTGAAATAGCGATACATATATCTTTTATTAAAAAACGATTTCCATTTGACAAAGCATGGCTAATATACGTGAGCGCGATAAATAATACTAATGAAGCAAAAGAGATAGTGATGATTGCAATGTTGACAATTTTATTTGCGTCACAATTTTGCGCTCAGATTAAATTCTCATTTTGCTTTTTATATTATGATAAATACCAACAAATGTTTGCTCAGTCGTCTCCAAGGTACGAGTACAAATCGCCATTTGACCAGAAATTGGATTAATTCGCACACATCGACGATGGAAGTGCAAATTTAATCCCGACGCGTCCATATCGTTCCCAATCGATATCTCAGTGTTCATTTCGCGAAAACGAAACTTTGCATTTCAAAGCAAACGAATTACGGACGAAAGGAGAAAGACCAGCTATGAGCTGATCGATTGACCGAATTACCCGGCGCCTGCTGATCTCGATCCGACTATCCGCGAAGCAATTGAGAGGATCCCCGTTGTAGCATCGCGAAATCAGAGAACGAGTCAAGTGCGACTTTTTTACCTTCAAGGTTCGCAGTTGCTCCTTGTAGTCGTTCTCGGCGAACGTGATGGTGGCGGTGCATGTGATATTCGCCTGCTCCAGTTCCGTAACGAGATCGTTCACTGCCTGAAACAGAGAGAGAGAGAGAGAGAGAGAGGCGTCACACGTGCGGCGTGTTAAAGCACGCGCCGGAGAGCTAGCGGCGACGAGCGGCGGCCAGATAGATGCGGGAAACGGCGTGTGCCGTTCGTTTGTCCCGTCCCTATTTATTGGACAAAACGAGAGAATCTCGCACGTCAACCATACAAATATCGCGCATCGTATGTCATCGATAGGATGGCGCGATAGGAATTACGTTTCGTTATTCGAAAGGGACCGCCGCGCCGTCGCGCCGCGCCGTTTCGCTCGTTTTCCCAATTCCGGCCATTTCTTCTCGCACGCAATTTAATTGACAATATTCACAATTCTCTTATCTAACGTGATAACATATGCAAGCTTCGCGATAGCAATCTCACACACGTACACACACACGGTACCCTCGGATACGGATTCGGATTGTACGTGTAACACATTCGAGATACGAAATGTTTATTTCAAAAGTAGTTTAAGTCCAGTTTGGGAACAATATGAATTTTAACGAGGTGCATGTGTAAACCGACACGTCGATCACCGCAGCATTTTCATAATCACTTTTACATCGAATTTCGAGATGAGCGATTTACGTTGCGCGCACGCTTTATTAGAAATTTATCAGAAATTACAGTCTCTTTCCGTGGTGAGAAACTCGATCCTCGAAAGTTGCGAGAAAATGCATAACTTTTTTCGCGCGTATACAACGGTTGAAAAATTACATTGCAACGTAAATTGTCAATTTATTTGTTTTGCCTCTGCGTTCCGGAATGCGTCGCCCGTATGGGCTCGTACATCATATATTCCTAGACTACATTAAAGCCGGATATGACGTGTGGTAGCTTCCGTTGTAGTATAGCGACGGAAATTGGCCGAGAATTAACCGAAACGTGATACCGAACACGCGGCGCTCTGGTTAACTGCGCGTGAGTACAAATCGAAAGTTAATTAAAGCCGACATAACGGAAACTTCGTTGTATAGATCGCACGTTACGCCGGACACAAACGAACTTCCGCGGTGTAGTTTGCAATTAAACACGCGGTTACGTAAAGCGAGACAGAGAGATAAATATAATGTGGAAAATGTCCTCGCGCACATGACCGTGTCATTGCGCGCATTCTCATCGTATTTCAAATTCCACTTCATCTGATCTCGATATTTATACGGTAAAAGCGACGATAGGAGGATATTGAATTTATAAGTGGACATTTTTTGGGCGCAAATTTCAATCGCGATTAACGTCAATTGCAATCAGAACGCCGTTCTTTATGGAAGGAGCTGATTTTCTATCAAACATAATTTTTCAAATTGTCTTTGTACATTTAATCATATTTCATACTCGCGCTTATTTATTCGAGAACATAAAATTAGAAAATTGTATTATCTCTACGGTGTGTTGTAGATTTCAAATTTCTTATTGTTCTGTAATATTTCACAGTATTATGTAGTTTTATAAAAACTTCAAACTGGAAGATAAGATGAGCTTTAAGGGCTTCGTGCCCGGAGAAAAATGATATACCGCCCATCGGTATTGCGATCAAGTTATTTCCGGTTATTGCGGACTATCAAAGTGACAGGAAGCTGTTCCGATAAATACGGGGAGTTGGTTTCTACACGACATTCATGTTCCTTACGACCTACTTACCAAGGAGTACATGTCGCCCGTTTGCGAAAGCGCGGTGACGGTGTCCCATCCGAAGTGTTTGATCAATGCTATCCTAGCCGGATTGTGACTCGAATCCGGCGCGACGGTTCGCAGAAACAGGGGAAACTCATTGGAATCCGACAGGGCAGGTGCGGTCGAGCCAAATGATACCTGGATCACGTTCCAATAAGGAACAATTTTGGCCAGTGTCTCCGTGACTTCGGAACAAGCGGTGCCAAGAAGGAATGGCATCAGGTGTTTCTTCCTCGTCGAGTACAAGGCGTGAAAGAATCTATCCACAGCCACTCCGGAATCGCACTGAAAAGACAGAGAGGTAGAAATTTCGATATGGAGATTTAAGCTTAGCTATCTGCGCAGTAATATTCTCAATTATTTATTAAAAATATCTCTGAATTAAGGAAAAGGATTTATCATCGGTAGGTGCAATAAATATTTCAATATACGAATACACGTCGCACTAATTATTGAAACATTATAAATTATTTACTCATTCTGAAACTTCTTCGTTCAATGAAGATTCAGAATCTGAGAAAAATAAACTCAAGGATCAATTGAATATTGACGACAAAAATCATACGCTTTCTGAGCAAAGTAACCCATTACAAACGATGTAATTATTATTGCGAAGGAAAAAAGCGCGAAATGTCACGCATTTTTTTTCGAGTTGCAAATCAGCAATGAGTCGCTAAAACAAACGAGACGGAGACCTAGCGTGTCTTAACGAGCAATTATTCAGCGCGAGTGAAGACCGGAGCAAACTAGAGAGCGCGAAAAAAATCTCGAGGGTCTTCGTGAAGATGCAGGACGGCGAGTTACGAAGAAGTAGGGACGTCTCGATCCAACTTTTACAACACGAGTGCTATCCACTCCACATCTTATTACGATTTCATTGGATCTCGATGAGAGGATCTCGATGCACTCAGAAGTCGAAATCATTCGAAGTCGACCAATCATTCTCGGAGGAGAAATTGGAGCATCCATCTTTTCCTATTGGACAATTCGAGTAGCCTTCTGCAAAATTATATTACATACTGACCCCGTGCGTTCAATTCTGATTTTGATAGCAATTAATGGTTGGAAACATTATTTTATGGAAATGTCAATATCGAGTGGACCAAGTGAGTGAATTAGAAAAGCAGAGTACTGAAATCATGAGAGAGGAGAAAAAGCAGAGAGAATATGTACATATATGCACTTTAAGGTAGAAATCTATTATCGTGGAGTACATGCTGAGCAAATGCTCGTCATCTTCGCAGCACGTTTCCAGCATCGTGTCTGACAATATTCTGGACGCAACTACTGGCTTAACGAACGTCATGCGCCATGCATATCCATGACTTTCGCGACATTTCTGTTTACGCGGACACGAACAATCGTGTAAATTCTCATTCGACGTCGTACGCCAACATTAGTCGAGCCCTCAATCTGCTCGTTTCTAGGAAAGATAAATCGAATGACAAAAAATTAGCACTTATAACACGATTACAGAGCTCGAAACCTGTTGCGTATAAAGTAAGATCAGTATTACTCAACATTCAAGAGCGAATGAATGCGAATATAATACGCGGATATGATTCGCAATGAGAGAGAAGATTTTCCGTGCTTATAATTTTTACTTTTTAAAATATCGCAAATTTTACAGTTTACAAAACAATTATAAAACGTAGAAAGTTAATAAATACGTAAGCTTTATAATCGTATATGTCAACATTTATGTTGATTTTTTTCTACTTCGATATAAAATATAACAGATTTATCTTATTTTTTATAATATTTAGTTTTAATTATAAATGCAGGAAATATGAGAAATTTGTCTTTTAATGATTGATGTTGCGTGAGTACTGTCCTTACATCGATCATAATTCATCTCCGATAATTAAGATGTCAGCCGTGCTTCACGCTGCGGTTGACACATGGTCTGGTTTTCGCATCAATTGTCAAATTAGTAGATGCTGTTAGTCCGTAATGAATATCCTTAATTGCGCGTCTATAATGGACAGTCATAACTGGGCCATAATGCTCGTTCATTCACAAGCATAATTTGTATAACGGTAATTTTACTCTCTTTGCCTTTTATTAATGAATGAGAGCGACAGTCGAAAAACAATCTGACACGTTAATAAGTCAGCACGAAGACTGCGACAGGTTGGTTAAATAAATATGAGAATGCAATTATATAATAATCGCAAATATTTAACGTGCGACACATCGTCGCTTGGATTTAAAATTGAGGAATGAAAACGTGAAAATATCAACTACAGATATATCATATATACTGCAACAAGCAAAACAGATTGTGGGTAAATCCCATATTACATTTTTCATGGATGTCATGACAGCTTTGCGGTTCAACATCGTGGAACATGTAACCGCTGAGAGGGAGAGAGCGAGAGAGAGAGAGAGAGAGAGAGAGAGAGAGAGAGAGAGAGAGAGAGAGAAGAAGAAACATAGTCGACGTGCGAATCTGACAGCCAGGATAGCACGAAGCTTTCATGATAAATTACTATTATCTCGAGAGATAGAGAGGATCAATGGTGAGAAAGAGCGGTATCGACACGGTGACGAATGGAAATGGATTCTTGAAGCGTTCGCGCGAATTCTAGCATAAAATACGCGGACGGCGCGCGCGACTTACATAGCCACGTCGGTGAGACTAAGTTAAAAAGATCTCTCGGCTGGTACGAGACCTGGTTGGACAATTTTCAACTTACCTTTCTCGCGGTATTGAGTTTATGCACGTGGTCCGCAAATATTTTCCGCCGGAGAGACGAGTCGTCATCTTGAAAATCGACATTTGTGGAATATACGACCTGAATTCTCTTACGTGATACATCCGTCGGTCTACTTGTTACAACAACAGAAATGTATCTCAAGTATATTCTTTCATGTAAAAATTCGACTTTATTAACCTAATCCCCGAGATTCGGAATATAAGCATTCGATGCAAATGTTTGCAACGTAAAGTTCTGTTGTTATCTTAAGCTTGTATGCTTTCTACGGTAAAAAATAGAAAGAGCTTTTTATTTAAAGAATAAAAAAAAATGAGAAAGAAATGAGAAAAAAGAAAGAAGGAGAGAGAGAGATTTATATTGGTTGTAATTACTGCGATTCTCCTTTCCAAAACTTCCTCCGAGTTTAATTCGTACCCCTGTATTCCGAAACAATAAATGTCGCTTGTCGTTGTTTAATGGGTTGCTCCCTTTTCTTGTTTTAATGGACAGCTCCCGTGGGGCGTCGTGTCAGTCTATTTTCCATATGTGCTTTTAAAATAAACTATGAATGATCATTGCGCTAGGTTTTACTGCCGTTGAAATGGCAGGTCGACTGGGCGCGCGTATAAATTTATAATCTTGTTGACTAGACTTCATACTTTTTATCGTCTATTAATTTCATGAGATTAATAATCTTCACGAGCCATTGTTCCTGCGTATATATCCGATAAGAATATCTAGCTACAAAAGCAAGCTAAATTCCAACACTTTCCATATTCGTTTACGAGAATTACTTTTGTATATACATCACAGAAAGCTGTTTGTACGAAACTTTATATTCTTCAGTTAATTCAATTTTCATTAACCGCAACTTCCGCTATCCTGATAGAATCGAGTTACCCGCAACGCGGAATAAAAATTAAAAAAGGAAAAAAAATCGCGAATTGCACGTGCCGTTGTAAAAGAACTGCAGACCGTCCTTACTTCACTTTGTAATAGCCTTTGTAGAAATAATCAGAAAAAACTCCGGTAGCCGGATCCACCTCTTCGTAAAATACATTTCAGCGAAGCGCGTTCGCGGCGTGTGTATGTTTATCCAAACTACTATAACGCTTTTCCCGTAGGTTTATTGTTAAAACGGGGGAAATTTTCACGAAAATATTAACACCAAATGCGGTTTATGCGCCAGCTATCGGTTCCTATGGCGACCGCAATCTGCATAGAATTCCGCATTCCGTGAAAAAAAAAAAAAAACGATTAACCCTCGCTGCACATGGGGATTCGTCGGCGTGCCGTTCCCTTATCTACACGGCCGAAAGTCTCTCGGGGATACTTTTATATCCCCCGTTCCTAGTCTACCCGCGTCGAATAAGACCCTTTAGAAACGTCAGACAATAAACGTCTGCTTGGTCCTCCGAGATCGTCGGTGTATCGACATCCTGAAAATACAATCCGCTCCGTCCACCGATTGTTCCGTATGATATCATGCGTTTACATGCGCGCGCGCGCGCGCGCGCGCGTGTGTGTGTGTGTGTGTGTGTGTGTGTGGTCACGATAGTGTTGGGTGCGTCTAAGTTCACTATCGACCAAAGGCTTTGAGAGTCGAACTGCCTCATGAATGAGGGTGTAACCGAGACAATGGTAGAACGGGACGTTTTGTGCCGCGTGTATTCTTGCCGAGAGGCCGGACGTGTAAGACAATGATACATGGAAGTGGCGAGAGAAGACGACGAAGAATAAGGTCGGGAGAGAGCGAGGGCCGTGAATTTCCGGAGATCGATGCGCTGACCTAGCAGGTGCGCCTAGGAGAGCCTTGGCTGTTGATATCTCTTTCTTCGGATGCTCCTCATCCGTGCCTCATCTCGCTCGCCGCGTCGCTTTATCCGCGTCACGAAGATCGCTGACGCTGTAATATACGAGACGACGCTCCGTTCGTCATGAGCCAAGGCCGACGGATAAATCGTTGTCGGTCAGACGGAGGAATCTGTTTCGCGGTCAGACATTGCGGAAGAAACAATCGCTATGATATAATCACCCGCTGGCCGGCCGCCAAGCACAAGTTGAAACATAACTTGCATGTATCCCTTCGCTCCTCCCCGGTCGCCGTCGTTCGAGATTCGAGACCGCACATGGTTTCATATTTGCATAAATTGTAATGCACGTTTTTATCTCGATCAAGAATAACGCGATATGGAAAAAAAAACAAACACGGTAGAAAAAAATTATTCAAGTGAAAATGTATAGATAACCGATCGTTATATATCGTTTTCCGCGATATCGTAATTAATTTATGAGGATGAAAGCGAAAGTATGTCGATGCCTGTGATTTTTGTAATAGAGGACTGGCGGTTGAAAAAGTGGCAGGAAAGAAGAAAAAACCGGGACGCGATGCAGGGCAATTGTGAGTGGTTATTTTACTGGGCTCTTTACATCCTTATTAGTGTCATCGGTAATGAACGAAGCTGAGCGAAATGGTTAAACCGCCCCATTCAGAGACCCGTTCTTTTCACCTCACCTCTATCTCTCCGGTTTTCTCTAAATGAGATTTTTATGAGACAATTTCTTCGAGCGAAATTGTTTTATGAT